TACCATCATGCATCATCATGGTAAGCATATATCTGGCTAAAAACTATATACATGTAGATTAACTCTTTGCCATCTAATAGGCTAACCAAGGCAATGGGCAGAAACGAGGGACTGCCACGGTTGATGTCTGTCAAACATACAAACGTACATGTATATAAATGTACTCTAACCGATGTGGCAGTCTCTGGACATGATGATCCATGGCGAATATTGAAGGTAAACAATTTCTTGCTATGAAGTAACTTCATGCTGTATCTTTGCCCATACCTGCCAACCTTTCAAAAAAATGCGCAAAATTTAGGAATGAAGTCTGTTTTGTAGACTTTTCACACTGAATGTTTCAGAAAAAGAGAGGAATCTATAGTTCAAAACAATATATTGAAGGCCAAAAATTAAGAATCATTCCTCCAAAATAGGAATGGTTGGCAGCTATGTCTTTGCCTCATACCATGCTCACACCAGGGAAATGTACAGGGAAATGTTACAGAGAACATTTCCCTGCTGGTTCCAACTCTAGCCTAAGAAGGATAAGACCATACTCCAAAAGGTTGTGTACAGATTCAGGAATATGAGATCTGACCCTGCTCAGTAGGAGAGACGCTGTAAAGAGGTCGAAGATAGGAAGAGGTCATGACCCGAGGTGATGAGTGACAGAAATCAATGCAGCCAATTTACCATGGACTGCCTGCCTTGCTGACTAGATCAGATGGCACTTCAAGTTCAAATGCATTCTTCTCTCTTTTAGACATATGGAAAAGTTGATGATGTATTTCCCATAGACATGTCACATCGGTTGCTTGTTCCTATCCTAAATCTCTTCATTTTTTTTGTTCAGTGGAAGTTCACCTAGGCTCTACATATCCTTATTTAATTTATCCCTTCCTATTCAAATGGCAGATGTCATATATATTGAAGAAACCATGTTTCACCGACAATGGATTGTCTTCAAAATAAATGTATGAACATACATGTATACCAAATAGTAGAGACTAGAGACATGCCTTGCAGCAAATGGGTTAAGCATCCCCCAATAATCCAGCCCATAGAAAACTGGGGACCCACAAATACATTGTGGTGAAAAAGGGTAAAGAATTAGCACATAAGGATATCCATTTCCTTTCACTAATGAATGATAATTACCAGACATTAGTTTCACTTGCCACAATCAAAGCATCAAAATTACATTTTCATTGAAACAACAACAAAACCTTATGAAATATAAATACATGAAACATATAACCAAGGTCGAGGCAGTTAAACCTGAGAATGGGATTATCCAGACTTGAGAGAATATATACATTTAAAAATATTGCGTTGAACACAATCACTATTCTAAAATGTTAACATACAAACCTCCAAATTCACTGTCGGGCTAGAAATGTATAGTCACCATTACTAGTCAAGTCATGATAGCATTAAATCCATGTTCAGGTTATAATCCCCCTCAGGTTACAAAGCTAAGCCATATGCCACTCATCCAGCACCTTCAAAGGCACGCTCAAAAGCAGCGGAAAGCCTAAACTCTGCCACCACTCTCCACAATCCAATCAGTCAGGATACTACCAGACTGGTGCACAACCCCTTCTTCCGGATAAATTGTACCCTTGTTTATGTATCGTACAGCATTCTATCATTTCCCCCAAAGACGTTACCATTTGAGGGTTCACCAGTCTGCCCCCGCCGACCCTGGTTACGTGCAGTCTGGTCTCAGTCATCTGCTCCCCAGTTCATACATTTTATGGGTCAGTCAAAATAATAAGAGGCTCTGATGGTATGTATAACAACTATGCAAACAATGACGATTGCGCATGTTGATTTCAACAAAGTTCATGTGTAATCTGATACAGAGTTCATGATAGACACATGATGTACTGGAGGGGGGGGGGGGGCATTTTACGAATTAGTGTGAAGGTTCAGTTCTTTTAATGATCGAGAAATAATTTGTAAGCTTTATTGTTCTTTTTCACGTCAGTTTGGACAAATATCACAAAAATGATTTTAAACACACTGTAGTAGATGTTTATGAAACTTGTGTTATCATTTGCTACTTTGTCGTAAATCTATGCTAAGTAATTGTCATACTTGAGGTAAGGAATTATTCAGCTCTTTTCAGAAACTGTAAATTATTCATCCGAGGTTTTGCTTGTCATAGACCAGACTATCTAAGTTGATTGAATCGCAACCTATGGAGACACGATAGCACATATACATGGCACTATCAGTCTACATGAATTCATTGATCTACTTCAGATCTTCTAGTCACCTCGAAATGAGCTTATATCCCGGCCCAGCTCGGCCAGACACTGGTGACATTTAGCTTGAAGTACTCAAGGCATCAACCTCTATCGCAAACATCAATCATTAACCAGATACCTAATTATGCTCTGCCTTAAAATAGGACCACTCATTGCCAGACAGACAGTCGCATGGCCGCGATTGAATGATACGAGAGGTCGGTCGTCATTTGAATTAACAAGACAACTAGGTTAAAGAGAACATTACATTGTGCAAACAGTGCATACCGCAGGGCTTACGTGTGATAGCATGATTACAATAGTTCGGCACCCATTAATGTTCAGTTTGATGACCTTCACAAAATATTTTGTCAATTGAAAAAATAGAATTAAGTCTGATATACAATGTTTACCCTGCATTCATTGTAAAGCTATACGAACCTTGTGTTCAAATAAAATATTTGCTGATCTGAAGGTTGCATAAAGAATCGTCATATATAATGAAACGTCATATATAATGAAACGTCATATAGCAAAATGACTGTTTGAGCATCATTTTGAATGAAAACTCAATAAAGAATCAGAGTCCCGCAAAAGTCTGAATGCAATATCGTATGAAAAATCATATAACTGGGTGGATTGGCCAGCCTTCATGTCATTCATGTCAAATGACCTTGTCAAAATCACTTTCTTGTATGATGTTGTTTTCTAGTCCGTACGCTCCTTTTATTATGCGAGTTTCGTAGCTAAACATGATACTATCAGGTCTTTATTACTCATCCAAACACATATCCATTTCGATTCTCTTTACAATGTAGGCCTATAAAACTGCTTCATACAGTATCGTAATTTGATAGCGAAATAGATGTAATAACTTATTCAGATTTCAAAGGGAATGATATTGTGTAGTTCTTCCTGTTTCACTTACGCTCAATGATGATGGCCATGAGGCATAATTAAACTTGATTTGAATACAAATGTAATTTCATTTCAATGAAAAAATACCCAATTCTTTATCTGTGACTCAATATTGATTCCCCAGGAGTGGCTTTGTGTATTTGATGAGATTAAGTCCTTTTAATAGTGCGATGTTCAATATTTCCAGAATGATTTTCCATGATTAGCAATAGATAACTGAACTTTGAGTTCTCACGACCCCTTTACGCTCAATCAAGCACAATCAACAATCACATGGAGTGCAGGATGTCTTTAGTAGGCATGCAACATGACCTTTGACCCCCTGTGTAAAGTAAAGCCTGAACCATCCATTGAACATAACAATGGCTTCCTTATCATTTCCTTATCTGAATAATATGAGGAATATGCGGGAATCAGCACTTCCCCATAACAATGAGATAACAAAAAGATGATTTGATTATTATCCTTTTGTCAACACTGAATATCGGCTCATCTGGATAAATGATAGGCATGTATGCCCTTTGAAGTGATTACAATGGGTCTTATCAAAGTCTGAAAGTTTGTGCAAATTGACACACACCCTGTAGCATCAGTGAGCCAAGTTCGATTTTGAAAACAAGATGAACAGGAAATCTGCACCGAACTGGTAGTTGGACGTGAAACTATAAATGGTTTCTTATTTGATCAGGAAAGAGATTTCTCCTGCAGCTGGTATAATTCCGTCTGGTTCTTTGTGTAGCCCTTGACATAAGAATCAATTTGGTACAACATGTTTTTACATAGACCCAGCCAAAATATCTCAGATTAGTATTTAATGGGTTAAAAGAAGTTTGGGCATATACTTATAGCCTACTCATAATTACTTGCCATCTATAATGCCACGAGTGATTACTGCATTACCTAAATTGATGCGAGTTCCATGAAAATGTATATATTTTCTCTCTCTCTCTATCTCTTTTAACTTTTGTTTTTCTCTAACCTTTCGGTGAGAACATTGCCAGGCATCTAGGCCAGAGAGTGGGCGTAGAGTTGCATCATACAGACAAAACAAAAACATGACACAAACACTCCAATACTACTACTCACAGGCTTCATCCACCCCCATAGATCACACTTATGTCTACTAATGAGGCATGCCAAGTGTGACTGGCAATCATAAAATGTGCAATTTCAAATGATATAAACAATCTCATTTGGGGAACTCTGTGTGATAATAATTATTTCATGAATCCGTCATTGCCATGCATTATATCATCTGGTTAGCTGCATATAACCTTTCATTCCTTTCCCCCGTTTTCTTATTAATACTTTTAAAATCTATTTATTCATTCATTTGGGAGCACTACTCTTTCAGCATTAGACTGAGTTTAGTGCTAGCTAATAACAAGTGAGACACATTTCTCATGTTCCCACGCACACATAGTCATCTTGTTAGGACTAGAGCCAGGAAATCATTATGAAAACACCCTCCTAGAGCTCATGACAAAGTATACTTGTCTTTGGGAAATGAAGATACCAGTATTATTCAATTTCTGATCAAAATTGTTGAAAAAACAGTCTGAAAGAAGTTGTAAACAAAGATTTAGATGTCCGTAATGATACAAAATGCCTTTTATAAATTATTCCTGAAGTTTAAGGTTATTGGCAACATATTACAAATCAAATCCTAAATGAAAGTAACGTTGATTGTCCTACTAAATGCAGGCGGTTCTTGTTACCTTTAAAGGATGTTTTCCTTAGCCAAAATGGTAAACTATTCAACTACTTTCAAGAAAATATCAAATAACACCTTTAAAATCTTTTCTTTCCTTGTCATTTAAAATAAAGAGTTATTGAATTCAATCTTACCATCATCAAGGAACATCATCTGAATATGAGCAGGATTTTCAGTGTGACTCTCCAGAACTGTATCATCCATCACAACCAACTCCTGATAAAGAAACAAAACAAAATAAGGACAAAAATAGTCAGAAATCTTTCAACGTGTGTAAAACCAAAGTAAAAATAGCCAGGTAATACGTTTAGATGAGATACTCTAGGGGAATGCCTGATGAAGTTGGATTACATTTCAAAATCATATTCAACTATTGAGCGAGAAGGTCAGGTACATGAATTACTGAACATGATTATAAATGTAAAACCTGCAACTCACTACAAAATATTGTTTTTAAACTTCTCAAGGTCACTTGAAGCATATCAAACAAACTATTTGATTTCATAATAAAAACCCAGTCTCATATCATAATGATCTCAAAAGTGCAGGGTCTAGTCCTTAGTCAACTTGGAAATTCACAAGATTTACTGAGTCACTTGTACTTTGTACCTCAATACATAATGAAGTAACAAATAAGATCATCCCAAGATATTTCCTCAGACTTTGTGAGATAAAACAATTTGTTCTACTAATAAAAGTAAATATTACAAAGTTCTAACTATACTCAAAAGAATAGATCACTTGACAATCACATGGTTTTTAAATCCTTTATATGGATTTGTGCCAAATAGACCAAGATAATCAAGTGCTTCATTTGTTTACTTTAAGTTTTCTTGTTATAAATATGATTAAATAATCATTCTTGAAGACAAACAAAAAATACATACATGTATGCAAAAATTAAACAGTACTAAAGGTTGAAGTGTCACGATCCCTCTAATTCAGTTTCTGTTCTATTTCACAGACATGATTTTAGTTATACGTATCTAATGCCAGAAGTGCCCTACAGAATAATCCCATTGCAATGAATGAATGCGAACTATCCATTACTGCGTGGGTGATGTTTCCTCATCTCTACAACGAGACTGAATGATTGCAAATTTTGAGAGAGAGAGAGAAAGAGAGAAAGAGAGAAGACAGAGAGTGCTCCACCGAGTGAAATATCGATTGGTGGGTAATAATAAATCTCTGGAGCTACTTAATTAGATGGCAAACTGGGTCAGACAATCGAGTCGATTAATAGAAGTGAAGATTATAATGGCTTCTATGCGCCACTGCCATAAACACGCTACCTTGACAGACAATTTCTTTTACAGACATGTTGTCATATATATGAGTATATTGCGGCTGAAAGTGGCAATAATTATGTGTCCTTCAAATTACCCTTTTCAAGAGAAACATGGTTTCATCATGCTTTGAATGAAATGGATCTATGCTTAATGGACATGCCAATGTTACTAGTACTTAAAATGTCAAAATACTTGTAACATGTAATTAACGTAAATGTCATGTATCATTATGTAGCACTTAATGGGCTATATATATGTATGTAAAGATAGAGAGAATAAATACAAATTGTGTTTGTTTCCTGTAACATGGCAATTAACTCCTGGTTTATTATCATAAAACTGCATTGTTACATATTTTATCACATTATAAATATGCTTTCACATAAAATCTACCATCTCTCTTAAATTTATGACATTGACTGTCCAGGCTATAAATATAGATTGCATCTCAACAAAATGTTTGGATTATTACTTCCTGCGTTGTTTCTCCCAAATAATTCATTATCCGAGTCTGGCCATGCCAGCGCCAAGATATATATTGCCTCTGGGCCCACATTACTGTACTGTGGGAGATGAGAATGCTATACAAGTTCAATGTGCTTCTAAATGCCTCCCTTTGAAGTAAAACAGAGCTCTCAACATCATGATTGCTGGATTCACAATTGCTCCCCTGAACATTCTTGTAAGCCACGCTTTGTCACGGTTTTCTCCTGACCATTTTCAATGTTTTTGATGTGCTCCTATTGCGAAGGGGGGAGGAGCAGGCAGACGCTCTGTCTCCTAAATCAGAATGGCGTCTTCATCATTCACTTGAACGGAATATTAGAATAACAGAGTAGTCTCCAAGCAGGCATATTAGTCATGTTTGCATCACAGATTGCGCAACTTGAGATGTTGGGCCACGATCATTCTCAAAGTCCTTCGCATAAAATCAAATCTCCTGGATAATTAAAAACCACATATCAATCAGACTCAAGAATTAAAAGCCTGTAAACTAAAATCAATAGGCTACTTAGAGGGAAACAAATCAAACTAAAACAGAATTGTTCACATTACAACTACAATTTTTTCTTTTGACTTTCCTGAATGTTTTTCTTGTTTTAAGTATTGTTTTTAAGAGGAATTCATCCCTAGTATTTAGACGATTTACCATTTATTCATACAATACTGTTTTACAGGAATGACAAACAAAATTTGAGATGTCAAGCACATTTAAATCATGATCCTGTCTTTACGGAGCTAGATGGGCATTCTCTGTGTAAAATGATAGGAGATAACGCCCATCTGGCCTTCAGCGGAAGAAACAATGTTGAAGTTCCTAAAATAAATCCATATATAATATACTAACATTTCATAAAAGATGTATGAGACCTACTCTTGAGAGTTGTAGATCAAACCTAGGTCATAAACCTGTCTCTATATGTGGTCATATTTCATTTTCCAAACAAAGCACTTTCTGTTTCTCTTTTAAAACTCAAGATTAACAGGTATAATTTTGCACTGAGAATGCTCAATTTCTCATGCTCTCCAAGCCATTATGCCCCCCCCCCCCCCTCATATATCACTGAACAACAAGGACTTACAGGTATGAATATTAGTAGTCTTTGGGGAAAATATTCTTTATGTAAAACTATGAATTTAAGATATATTTAGTTTTTAGTAATTTTGAGGAAATCCAGATTGCATTTTATAATGTATTGTAAAACCAGGAACATTGGCAACTTGAATAGCAAGAAACATCTGCAAATTACAAAAATTCAATGTAGTGTCACAATGAAATTAATCTTAACCGGTTGCAGAATGTGTGAACTTTCCTTGTGCATAAATGTTTCTGGATGTAAAGTAGATGTTCTCTAGAGACAAAAAGAGAGAGAGCTGATCGTCTCCATAACAGATGATACACCATCTTGCCAATCAATGCTTTCCAAACTTTCAATCAATTAATTATCCAATCTATGTCTCCATTAACATGGGATACATGTCGTGGAGAGGGATGTCTTCCCTCCGTCAACGGTTCCTTTAAATTTCTATTCCAGCCAGATCTGAGATGAACAGGGCTGGACACATCAACTACCATGGGATGACAATACACAGGAGTCTGCATATCATCTGTCAGCCTTGTATAAACAACCCTGTAAGTAATATATCCCAGCCAAAGATCTGCTGAAGAAAACAACTCCTCAAGCAAGGAAGGCTCCGCTTGCTGTTGCTGCTGCTGCGACTGAGGCTTGGAATGCAGAAAGGTCAAAGCTGCAGTACATATCACATCCCTAACGTCTGTCTGTCTGTCTGTCTGTCTGTCTCTCCATCTGTATCTCTCCGAGGGCATATCTCCCTCCCCATCCCTATCAACGATGGGAATAATCCTTAGAAAGAAAACTGGCAGCTTCCCAGCACTTTTCTTGTAAGTTTGGCCCCGTTACTTGGAAGGCGATAATATCAGTATCAAGTGAACTGTCACTAGCTTGTATTTCTTTCCAGGAAGATTGCCACCCACAAAAAAAACAGTAAACAGATTAGATGTTTATTCTCAGCACCTTTTAAGAAAAGAACCTGAGTTAAATGTATTGGTCAGCCTACAGTTTCAACCAAAAATGAGAGAAATGAAACACAAGTCGCCAACCTGTAGTTTGCTTTGTGCTACAGTATGACCGCATTGACATGAAATAAGCCATTTCTCTCAAGGAATTGCTATCTCACAAAACTATCATTTCATGAATTCTTTACCAACTTCCCATAGTAAATACTAGTCTATCCATCATTATTATTGCAACCAATATTTTGTTCTTGTATCGCGCATATCACATTATGATATAGCATCCTTGTGCACTTTCAAAAGCTTTGGAAATTATTACCCAAGCTTTAGCTCTTGCAAACAGTATCAACTGCAGTGCACTTCAAGAAGTATTTCTACCTGGTACTTATTCACCTCACCTGGGTGTGGTGTGGCAAATGTAGTTTAATGTCTCACCAGAGGACATTAGCGCTGTTTACAACAGGGATAGAGGTTTAAACTTACCCTTGATAGAAGATCGTGCCATGTGATGACTGCAGTGAACCACTGTGTGGTTGAACCTAGCCGATAGACTTTGACACGGATTCCAGTCAGCTGATAGGGGGCGTGCATCAACACATCCTGCTCCTTCTGCTCACGAAGCCATTTCTGAGTCTCGTCACGGACCTCCGGATAACGCTGGAAGATTGGGTGCGTGCTCTTCTTTACATTCTCATCCTAAAAACGAGATCATTTCGAGAAAGACAGGAAGAGGCAAAGTTAGATTGATAAAAGGCATTTCATTATGTTCGATTGCAGCTCAGGATCATGTAATATCGACATCAATCAGGTTTTCTCATAATAGAGCAAGGTTGGTGATTTCTTTAACCTGAGCAAGCGCAACATAGAGGTGATACCTTTGATATGCCTGGAAATGAAATACGTTCATTAGTTCACAAACATACAGAACCTCAATAAAAATACCATAAGGAATATATAAAAAAAAAAAAACGTTCATTTGTTCAAAAACATACAGAACCTCAATAAATACACCATAAGGAATAAAAATGAATAATAAGATAACAGAAGACTCACATGATTTTCATTGAGAAAATGTGTGATTTGTAAATAAACTTATACTGTAGTGGACATGAAAAGTGCAGAGATGTAATTCTGTGTGTGTACACACAACTTTTAATCCCCTAGTTCTGTCACTGTGGCGACATAATCATCAAATTGCAGTACAAGATAGTTTACCATTAAAACATAAAGAAATTACAAAATGACCCCACGGACTATGAATAATTCAAATTATGGGACAAAGTAAAAACACTCATATATCAACTAGAATTTAACACAAGTTATTAGGCCTTATATTTCATAACGACCTATTATCAGCTCATCAGCACTCATCACTATCCTTCTGTAATTCACAACAATTATGTTTGTTGATTTAAAACATATAGTGCCTACATACAGGTACCTACATCTGAATCACCAGCTCTGTGTTGAGCGCATAAAGGAAACTAGAATGTGAGCGAAGGCGTTAGACAAGGTAACAACAAAATCTGGCATATTTCATGGGGATTTGGATACCAGTGACCTCAAAACGAACAAATATTGGAAGAAAGAACAAGGGGGTGGGAGGGGGTATAGAGGGGGGGGGGGGGGGCATATAGACAGATTATTATTAGACTAATGTCTAAGCCTTAGACCTTGATATTAAAATGTCTAGATAGTAACACATACGTTTGCCTATAAAAGATAGTTGAGATGTTAGAATGTAAATAAGGAGGGTTCAATTAATTTTGAGCCTCAATTATGTTCAGCCTCCAGTTACAGATAATGTTTCTTCATCTACATTAAATATTCTGATTCCCTTTCCCTCTGCTCTATCATTCATTATTTTAGGCATCAGTTATCAGTTTTCTATACTATAAAAAGGTTGATGTATCTGTACTTGCAAAATAGCTGTGGAGATCATATCTTGACCCATCTCCAGAAGTATTACAACCCAGTGATCTCAAGAAGAATGCCTGTATCCCTGAAGTAAATACTCCTCCAGACATAGTGCTTGAGCCTTGATGAGGGAAGCCTTCACAGGGTCTGATTAGCGAGACTAATTTGAATAGGGAGTAACAATGTGGCTGCACAAACAGCTCACCATCAGTCAACTGGCCCCCTTGACCTCAGCCATGGTGTTGTTTAGATAGCGCTTTTTTCCCCTCCACTATGCCACAGGGAATGAAAGAGGTGCAAGCGATACCACATGCCAACACTGCACACTGGTGGTATTACCCCTACAGTACTACAAATAGTCCATATGTCACATGAAGTCCTTGTGTGCAAAACCCATTCAGGCAATAAAGGGATTTTTAAATCCATTTCAGCCTTATCATGCAAGCAGTACTAGTAATTCACTATTACTATTAGAACAATTGAAGAGTTATTTATAGCTACATTTTCAAGGAGGCCTAGATTTTTATTTTATTTTCAATACAATGAATATTACAGACATGTGCATTGTCTAATGAAACTGAAAAGTATATGAATGCACATATATGTCATATTTTCCAATATAAGCAAGGCAGTGTGACGACATGAAATAAAAGCAAGAAAAATAACAAAGCAAAGTAATTCATGCTTGCATTCGTTCGCTGTCATGACCTTCTAGTTCTATGATGTGTGAGAAAAGTGCCTTTCATGTTTCCTTCAAAATGAAAGTGTTCTACCCCATATGGTGTCACTCCCACGCACATGACTTGCTTTTATTTTGCTATTGTTTGACAGAATACATTATTCAACTCTCCCTCTGTGTTCCTCTCTCTCCATCTCCATCCTGTCTTTTTATGTATCCCCCATTTCCAGTCTTTTCAGCTTGTGGTATGAAAACAATATCCCTTCTGTGGAGACGGATTTGACCTGAGTTGCCTTGGCACGAAGGCCACACTTGGCCTGAGCTACATTTAGAGCAGGGATTTGATTGGAATGGGACTCAAATATCACAAGTGCATGCCACCTTCAAGCCACCCCACTGAGACAGGCACAGTGGGAGGGGTTGGGGGAGGGGGGGGTAAAGGGGTCTACACACATCAGGACAAGGGGTGCAGAGAGGGGCGGGGTAGTCTGAAGGGGTAAGGTGGGTTTGAGGACTTGAGGGAGAGGGCTGGTGTATGTTCTTCAAAGAGAGTAGACCTATAACCCCTAACTCCAACGTGACCTGCAAACTGCACAATGCCTTCAAGTTCATAGAGCACACAAACTGTTTCCCTAACCCCAAAGACAAAGTCCAACTGCTTAATCATTGCTTAGCATGTTTTTCAACATTTTCTCTCGTAACCTGCACCAAACAGGTCCTGTTTTGGACGCTTTTGCAGGAAGAAGTAATTGGAAAGGAGGATATTTGACATTGGAGACATCCTGCTCTGATAGAACACGCAGCTTTCATGTGGTGGCCAAAACAACAACAAAAATGAAGGAGGCAAAAGGACTTGCGCTTGTGCGGAAATTATTACCCCTATGCGTCATTTGAAGACAGAAATATATTATAAGTTCTGCTTTTGCAAAGTGCTGGATAACTGCAGATGTAGGGCAAAGTGATAGAGTTAATAGGTTTCATAGACTGAGACTTGAATGAGAGAGAGAGAAAGAGAGAGAAAGAAAGAAAGAAAGGGATGAGGGGGAACTAAAGAGGGGGAACTCAAGAGGAGGAGAGGAGAAAGATAATGAGGAAATAGAGAGACAGAGCCAGACAGTAACATCAAGACAGAGAGAAATCTAATTATATGTGCACACCATCTTCCCACCACTGCATAGTCTGTCAGTTTAATTCAGGCCTCACTTCGTTATCCTACTCTGAATTACTAAGTGGCCTAGTAGTAGTAGGCAAAGAAATAAGTAGGAAGATTACAACAAAGTGACAGAGAAATTGATGGAAGTAACGACTTAAGTGCCTCCATGCCAGGGCAATAATAAAGAAGGCAGGATGGTCAATCAAGTCAAGTGAGTTTACGAACAGGTCAAGGTCATTTTGTGGGCCTCCAATGCACAATGGCCCCTGGGAATTGTTTCAGGTCAGCGCTTAGATGTAGAATTAAGTGATTTCTCACTGCCAGTGATTCAGACAGATGAAAAACTAAATCCCCTTTGCTTTCATTCTTTGCCAGTGAATAACTCAAGTCACCCCCACACACAATAGGCACAATAGCGCAAGTCCAAGGTAATGGAAAAGTACATGTTGTCTTTTTCAAGGAACAATTTTTACTTCATCATCAGAATCACCTACTTTTATTCAGTTAATTGCTCTGAATATGCCTTGAAATCAAGATCCTAGGCAAATGCCTATAATAAGATCAACCTTCATGTGTCTATATGAATTTCAAACTAAAAGCACCTCTTTCATCTGACTTCCTGTTGCAGATTTACGCACATCAAGAGCACTTGCAATGCAGTAGAACATAATTGCATAGTCTCTGAGCTTTTCAAACCCCCGAAAGTAAATGATGGCTCCTGTTCCGCAGTATACTCCACACTTATCAGTCAACCATGGATGGGATAATAGAGGACTGTACACAAATCAAATTATTGTGGTTCTTGAATTGCAACCAGCTTGTATTTTGTTTTCCTTTATGGCATTTAAAAGCACCTGCACTTAGGGCATTTATAATGCATGCTTATAAGCTAACAATACAAAGGTCATGACATAACAGGGGATATTTTTAGAATCACTAGGTTAGGGAGTTCAATCATCCTGTTTGCGTCATCCAACGATCGATTCGTTGATAACCCTAAGGATTTTGATACTGATCTTAGATCAGATGCAACTACCAGTCTGCGGTTAAGAACTAGTTGAAATTGCACAATAGAGATTTATGTAATCATAATGAAAAACGCCTTCTCCAACTTGTGCAGAATAATATCAACATCTACACATGGGTTATGAATTATTTGATAACAAAAATCTTCATGAACACCACAGATGTGATAGAAGGACTTTATATTAAAATCAAATTAATTGTAAATGTATGTCTATTGCTATAACTAGAGCATCAACTCAAATTGGAATAGAATGGCATGGCAGTATTCCTTTCAATATCATTTTTCACAGTAATACTTCAAAAACAGAAGCCAACGTGCAGGGATCAGTCATAAAATGAAAACTAGATATTTTATACAACAAAAAAAAAAAATGACAATTCAGCTAAACATTTTATAATCTAGCATTGCAAAAAGGGATACAGATTACAGAACACAACAATTACTACTCCATTATGTAGTTGTTGTTTTTTTCTTTTCTTTTTTCATTTCCAATTATTTTCTATATTACATCTCTAGAAAGATTTTAGAATCTTTACTTGATACAGTGTAGGTGCGAAAATACAAGAAAATCACTGCAGACTGTAATTAATTTGATATTATTATTAGACAGGACTTAGCCACCAATCATTTCCTATGGCTTCCTTTCATGTCTTTCATCCTGTTTATAGATGGAATTTTCTAGGTCTTCGATGAGTTGTTAATAAAGATGAAGCTGATTCCTGGTCACAGGATTGCACTTTGAAAGAAAGTGTATGGAAGCACCAGGGTATTTAAGACCCCGTTTCTCACTCACTTTGAAAGTGGTCTTAGTTAGACCGCTCCAGAGGAACGGGTCTTGAGGAACGGTTTGCGAGCGTTCACACTCCGAGCAGTTTTTATGGCTCAAACCGCTCCACGAGTCAAAGTGGTCTTGTTG